GGTATAGGGTTTCCTGCCTGAGAAGGGGGTTGACTTAGAAGACCTCCAAGGTTTCTTCCAACTCTGTTATTCTGTTATTCTCTAACTGTCCCTCTCTAGGTCTCCATCCATCCTTGTTGTACTTCAGGGATACCCAGAGTCTTGGCTATTCCTTTCTCTGAAACTAAAAACAGCAGCAAGAAGATTGTTAAACTTTAGATGCATACATCACTTCTGAATATTGATAGTGGAGGTCAAACAAGAAAGGAGACATTTTGAACTGAATGTGTATACTTTAGCCTCTGCCATTTTTCTTTCTTATTAGGATATGCAAGATGCAACCTAGATTACTATATAAATGCAGCCTGTATAAATACAGCATGGCTGGTTTTGCCATCTATGAACTAACCCAGTTAGTCTAACCCAAAATTCAAGGTTTCAAAAGCATTTGTAAATTCCCGAGATTTAGATTCAATTTTTGAATCTAAATCTTGGGAATTTATAATGCTTTTGAAATCTTGATTTTTTTAGGACACTCCCCCACCAGATTTCCGAAACTGAACCCTATGCTTATATATAACTGAATCATATAAAACTCTAGAAGATGCATTCTCAAACATGCTATGTTTGATTTGTATTAACCCTGATTAGGATTTATGTGGCTGAGTGCCTTATGGAACCCCAAACTCGTTAGATTATATTTCAAAGTGTTATATGAACCCAGTGGTTAACTGAACAATCATATGAAACATGATTGTTAAATGTAACTTCAGTGTCATTCTTTTCCTATGTTTAAATATGTAGTCTACACGGCACCTGTTTCTGCCTCTTCAAATGCTATTTTAGAGGGCATTCAGAAGACCGCAAGCTCTAAATCTATGTAAAGGAATGTGCCAATGATTGTGCTAAGCAATTAAACGTTTTGTTAGGGGTCTTTATGGGAACATTGCTATGGTACTGAGGAAACAAAGATGGAAGAAACAGTAAACTTGACTGCATTATCCTAAACGTGTCTTCTCTTATTTCTGTTTTGTGCAGCCACTCATTATTCCAGATGTTCCGGATATCTAGAGTGATACCACCTAGCATTCCCATGTTCCAGTGGGACATCCACCTGCAGGGCACTAGGTTGAGGAAAACCAAAACTCTATTTGTGATTCCATCTCTTTTGCTTCGTAGGCTTTCCTCTTCTAAATCTTGCCAGGCTTAACCTGTGCTCCAGCAGCCATACACCAGCCTCGACCAAATCCAAGATCCAGAGAAATCCTCTTTTATTCCACAGTTTTTGCCTCTACATTGTAATGAAGTGGTAGCTCAGAGCCCGCAACCTACGGTCTCTGTTCTTTTGCTTGAGTGCCCTGGGTGGGTGGGAAGCAATCTATCCTAACAGTATCCATGGATACCATTTATAAAATGTTGGTTACTGCTTCTAATTTTTCTACCTCACAAAGAGCTTTGGGGCCTAAGGAATACTCATGAATGATTAGGAAAAGGACAGAGGTACAGGTACTATAACATCTCTGGTGACCTTGGTGCCGGAGCTGTAAAATCAGGAATCCCCTTTTCTATGGTAGGCAACTGAAATGGATAGCTTTCCTCAAAGAGTCTAGTTATACATTCTATAATTAGGAACGATGGGTCGATAAACAGTTTACCGTATTTCCAGTTTTTCCCTAATATTTGATAGTGTTTCTGTAATTTAATGGACTTCGATGGAACACTAGGGCAATATTTTCTTTTCTTTCGTCTTTTGATTCACTTCTGGGACAGTTCCTACTGCCATAAATATCCTGCCCAACATAGTCAGAGACTACCTGGAATGTCTACATTGGTGGCTTTTATTCACTTCCTCCAGGTATTCCGTGCAATTAATTGAGTCATTTTCTTTGCTTAATTAGAACTTTGCTTCAGAAAACTAAACAAAATGAAGACCATTTAACAGATTAACAGATTAAACAGAGTTGGAAGGGACCTTATAGGTCATCTAATCCAACCCCGCCCCCCAGTTTAAGCAGGAGACCCTACACCATTTCTGACAAATGGCAGTCCAATCTTTTCTTGAAAGTTTGGTTTCCTGTCCTGAAAAGCAGAGTAATTTGAAGGACAGATGGAGTACTTGAGGATAGATGAATGAGAGAATCTTGGCTTGGAGGGAGGTTAGGGAGTGATGAACTGGAAGAAGGAAGGAAGGAAGGAAGGAAGGAAGGAAGGAAGGAAGGAAGGAAGGAAGGAGGGGGAGGGATAATGGATGGATGGATGGAAGGAAGGGAGGGAGGGAGGAAGGGAGGAAGGGAGGAAGGGAGGGTGAGAGGGTGAGAGGGAGGAAGGAAGGAAGGAAGGAAGGAAGGAAGGAAGGAAGGAAGGAAGGAAGGAAGGCTAAGTAGGGGAGGATTATGAATGGATGGAATGTAGGTTTTGAAATGGCTGAATACCAGAAATACTATGGACGCTAAAATGGAACTGGATATTTTATTCAATAGAAAGTTGCATGTGAAAATAACATGATCACTTAAATAGATGGACTGACAGACTCAGGTGATAGACCTTGAGACAGTGAGCCATATTTGACTTTATAATCCTTCTCTAAGGGGCGCTCAGAAAATCTGGTTCAGTTTTCTATATTCCTTTTACTGGTGATTTTTTTTTTAGCATCAGTCCAATAACCATCATTATCACTATTATGGTCCTCATATTGAATTCATGTTCTGCTTTATTATAATTTATAACTGCCTTCCTTTGGAGCATTCCAAGCAATTTGTAGCTGTTTCCATGTATTTTCAGACAACCGAATCATAATAAAGCAATAATCTCAGAATAGAAGTACTACTGGTGTCACAACAGAAATCAAGACATTGAACCAGGATTAAAAGAAATATGCTTCCCAAACACCATTCTTGGGGATTTTTGAGGTGCAGTTCTCCATTCCAGGCAGAAATTTCCATCTTCCTCTAGTAAAACATTTTTTCCCAGTTTTCCATATAGTTTCTCTTTCTCTCTCTCCCTCACACACATTGTCTGGCATCAATTATTATCTGCTACTTCATAATCAATTGCTAGCATTAGAATGCAGAAACTCTCTGAAGCCACTGCCTGGAAACCGAAGGCCCTCAAAACTGGACAAACAGAATCTAGCAACCAATCAATTACTTCTTATTTGCTAGTTCCAACAGAAGAAAATATCTGTAGCTCAGGGTACAATTGTGAAGAAATTGTGGTGCTTTCTGAGCATGGTTGTCTGCCTACAGACATTTCATTACTCAACTAGGTAACATTATCAGTGCTAGTGAGAGTGGGGTTTGCTCCCTTTTTATATAGTATGGGTTTTGGCTACTGGAGAGGATGTGTTCTGACCTTTTGGTTTCCTTCTTAGATTTTTTTATTATCTCTCAGCAGGGATTAATACCAGGCAAACAATCAAGCAGATTAACAATTGCCCAATCAAGGTATTTCCAAGGAGAAAATGACTTATCTCTACGTATCTACCAAGAAGAAAACTGCCCCCCCCAAGATTATTAGGGCAAAGTACTGTATATAAACAGGGCACAAACCCCACACTCCCTCACACTGATGATGTTGCCCAATCAGGTAATGAAATGTCTGCACGGAAGCAACCAAGCTCTGAGAGCACCAAGGGCTCCACATATTTGCTAATTGCAATTCCCATTTCCATCAGCTTGGAAATTCGGTCCTCACCTTTAATTGACACAAATCCACAAAGAGCTTTCTGTTTTGAGACTCCAGAAATCCTTCCATATATAACTTCTTGTTGGAAGTCATCAGTCTTTGATTTCCTTTCTATAGAATTGAGGAATCAGTTGGCTATCCCCAGATAAAGGAAATCTAGGAACAGCTTCTCCCCTCCCTCTGTAATTTGGCACTGTGTATTTGAGGAAGGATTTTTCCCCCCCTGTTATCTGATCCGCTATTCCAACAAAAATGTCTGGGATAATTTAAAAAAAACATTCAGATGTCCAGAAACTTAGAAATCAGGACCATTATTGGCAACCTTTTGCAAAATACAGGCTTGACTCTGCCTGCAAATATTTTGGAATGGAGGCCTGTGATTCCCTACCTTAAGGAAGCGTGGCTCTTCTAGCTTCAGTGCAAAATGCTAGAAAGAATGGGCAACCAACTAGGAACATCACAAACATGGTCCATTTTAATCCTAGGGTATTTCCTCCTTCACGTTTCCAGCTGAATTCCCCATTCATTCAACAGCTGCTCCCAACCAGCAGCTGTTCTTGGTAAGGCCAAAACCCCCCCGCAGCATTGTTTAAATTTCCATCTATCTTTTGAAACCATGCTGCTGTGCCTAACATGAGAGACATTTTTCTTGCTTCTTAAAAGGACCTTGGAGAGAAGGGGGGGGGGAGAAAGGAAGGAAGGAAGGAAGGAAAGAAAAAGAAAGAAGGAAAGAAAGAAAAAGAGAAAGAAAGAAAGAAAGAAAGAAAGAAAGAAAGAAAGAAAGAAAGAAAGAAAAGAAAGAAAGAAAGAAAAAGAAAAGGAGAGGGTGCAACAATCAATAAAAAAGCAATGCATATAGTTTGTATCTTCCTTGACTGCCTTCTTTTATCCTGTTTACATTCAAATATCAGGAGAAACTCAATCCATTCGAAAGACACTCATAAGGACACAGAAATGTAGCTGAAACCAAACAGAGGGAACAGCAAAAAGGATGCTCATCAGTAGAAACTGATTCGGACAGAGCTGTTGCATATATGCTTTAGCAAAAGCAGGCTAGAGGTTATCGTCACCTGAAGCGAAGGGGTGGTGAAAGCAGTGCCTGCAACTAGAAATTCATTCTAGAAACTGGATAGTTTTGGATCCATTCCTTGGTGCAGGAGGGGGGGTAAAAAATCCTGATACGGTTATAAAATTATTCCTATAAATCAGAGCAGATCCATTTCCCCTTCCCGTTCTCCCCAAGTGCCTTCCCTCTACCTCTTTTGCAGCCCAGAACGAAGAATATTGAGACCGAGAGAGTGAGTGAGAGAGAGAACGAGAGAGACATAGCAGCTTACCTTGCAAGCACACCACCGAAAGAGTCTGTTTTCCAAAGGTGTCACCCACTGGGGGAGGTGAGAGACAGCTTCTCCTTTTGTCCCCCCCCACCCAGCAGTGGGTTGGTGGTGGCACCAGCCGGAGAAGATCCTGCGAAATGGCGTTTTATGTCGAGGGGTATTTTGCTGTATAGGAGAGAGATGCTAGCATGCTGTTATTATGTCATAGGGAGAAACCATTGGAGGGAAAGCAGAAAAAAAAAGAAAGAAAGAAAACAGCAAACGAAAGAGGCTGGTTAAAGCAACGGAGAGGCACATCGGGCTGAGACAGAGATACGTAGTGATGGGGACAGTCTGGGTGATGCCAGCACATTGTGAGGCATTGTGTGTATTTTGCACTAGGTCACCAGCCTCCACTGAGGTGATGTGTGTGGTGGGAGGCATCCCTCCAGCGTACTCTGAGCTGTGGGGAGTAGGTATCTGGGTGCATTAGATGACCAAGTATGAGTTTGGGGAACTAACATTCAAGTGTTCTCCTGAGCACAAGCAGAGTGCATGCTAGATGCCTCTGAATTTTTCCTTCTTCTTCCCCTTTCCACAAAGGCACTATAAACCTGCAGTGACAACATTAAGCAGTTATCCTGCAGGTTTACAAATTGCTACTTCTATGCTGCTAAGTATACAGACGGTCTTTGATTTACAACCAAAATTGGGACCGAAATTTCCATTGCTAAGCAAAGCAGTTGTTAAGTGAGGCGCCCAAATTTGTAAGCTTTTTTTTTTTTTGCCCTTTGGTTGCTAAGCAAACCACTGCAGTTAAATGAATCACGCAGTCGTTAAGAGGAATCCAGTTTCTCCCATTGACTTTGCTTGTCGGGAGAGGTGGGGAAGGTCACTAATGGTGATCCACCGTCAAAAATAAAAGCCAATTGCTCACATTTTGATTGCCTGACTGTGGGGATGCTGCAATGGTTATAAGTGCAAGGACTGCTCAGAACTTACTTTTTTGAGCATCATTGTAACTGTGAATGGTGGCTAAACAAGTAGCTGTAAGCGAAGGACAACTTGAATATGACATTTATAACATTGCCCTGTATGTCAAGCGTTATTCTCAGTGACTTAATTTTGTGACTTTTACACAACTCTATTACCTGTCATTGTGCCTTCTTGCTGTATATTGGGTTGAGGGGGGGCAACATACTCGAATACATGCTTTGTATGTGGCATGTCATTTTGATCCTATGAATGCATGCTAAGTTAATGGGTCTATGATAGGTTGCGTACTTTCAGATAAGACTGCTGTGAGCACATCACGTTATTTCTAATCCCAAAGGTGCTTTTTCAGGACTTTCTTGTTTTTTTCTTTGATAACATTTTGCTTTGCATCCAAGAAGCTTCTTCAACTCTGACTGGATGAAGAAGCTCCTTGGATGACAAGCGAAACATCTTCAAAGAAAAAAAACCCGGAAAGTCCAACTGGCTTCTGAAAAAGCATCTTTGGGACAATCATGACCTGAATGACTGAGAATCTCTATAGACATTATTTCTAATGTTTATATGGATGTTTGTAAGCTACATTACCTTAGTAAAGTATATCGCAGCCATCTTAGTAAACCACAGTCATCTTGACCTTGAGTTGGGATGATGATGCCTTGGTTGCTTTTGCATGTGATCTAATGATAATCTCCTGGGTCCCGCATTACACTTTTTTTGTGACTTCTATAGCATCACTAGGGTCTTTATGAATTGCTGCACATGAACCCTGTGAGTGACCTCAGAACCCTTGACCAAGCTTCCCCATATTTACCTTTTGTTGAGTAAGTGATAGAGCCGTGATGGCGAACCTATGGCACGCGTGCCACAGGTGGCACACGGAGCCATATTGGTGGGCATGCAAGCTAAGCTCTGGCATGCATGCATGTGCCCACCAGCTGATTTTCGGGTTTTCTGGGCCCACCGGAAATCAGGAAACACAGTTTCTGGCCTCTGGAGCACCTTCGGGTGTGTGTGTGTGAGAGAAAGGCTAATTTTTCGCTCTCCCCAGCCTCCAGAGCCTTTCTAGGAGCCTGGGGAGGGCGAAAACGGCCTTCCCCACCCCTCCAGAGGCCCTCCAGAGGCCAGAAATGGCCCATTTCCCAACTTCCAGTCCCACCAGAAGTCTGGTGGCCCACTGTGCCATTGCATGCCAAAAGCGGGGGGGGAGCACGTGGGGGCATGCCCGCATGTGCATGGGGCAGGGCACATAGAATTATGGGTGTGGGCACATGCATGCGTGAGCCCCCACCCTCTCCCCGCTTTTGGCACTCGATGGCAAAAAGGTTAGCCATCACTGTGATAGAGTAACCAAGCAGGGATATGTACTGGCATATTTAAACAACTACGAATAGAAGAGAATATTTGTAGTTCAGGGATATCATGGGATCCTTGATGCTCTCTGAGCTTGGTTGTTTTCTTGCAGTAGGTAACACCATGAGGGCTAGATACGTAGTGTTAGACACCAGTGCTAGACAGAGCTTCTAGCACTGACAATGTTATCCTGTTGGGTAATGAAACATCTGCCCAAAAACAACAACAACCAAGCTGTTAAAGCACCAAGGACCCCACAGTTAGAAAACTTTTTTTTTTTTTTTTGCTTTAATTTATATGCCGCCTTTCTCCGGAGACTCAGGGCGGCTTACAATGCGTTAAGCAATAGCCTTCATACTTTTGTATATTTATACAAAGTCAGCTTATTGCCCCCACAATCTGGGTCCTCATTTCACCTACCTTTGAAAGGATGGAAGGCTGAGTCAACCTTGAGCCTGGTGAGATTTGAACTTTCAGTAATTGCAAGCAGCAGATGTTAATAACAGTGCTTTAGTCCACTGTACTACAGGCTCTTAGCCCCCCTAACTATGGCCCCCTCATTTAAATATAGAAGCGATGCTCTTTCATCTTCATACCAATTTAACCTCCTCTGTCTCTGGTACAGGTAATCCTCAACTTACAATCACAATTGAGCTCAACATTTCTGTTCCTAAGTGAGACATTTATTAAGTGGAGTTTGCCCCATTTTACAACCTTTCTTGCCACAGTTGTTAAGTGAATCACTGCAGTTGTTAAGTTAGTAACACAATTGTTAAGTGAATCTGGCTTCCCCATTGACTTTGCTTGTTAGGAGATCTCAAAAGGTGACCACAGGATCATGGGATGCTGCAACCGTCATAAATATGAACCAGTTGCCAAGCGTTTGAATTTTGATCACATCATCACGGGGATGCCGGAAAGGTCGTAACTCTGAAAAATGGTCATAAGTCACTTTTTTCAGTGCTGTTGCAATTTGAATGGCCACTAAATGAACTGTTGTAAGTCGAGGACTACCTGTATTCCCTTTCTTGCAGCATGAGTGACCATTAAACTATTTAAATAGCAGATCAGTCTGGGAGGTAGGTATCTGGATTTTTCCCAGTGCAAAACATCCCCCTCTTTTTTTAACAATACCCAGATTTCTAAAAAGGTAAAGGTAAAGGTTCCCCTTGAACATATGTGCTAGTCGTTCCCGGCTCTAGGGGGCTCATCTCTGTTTCGAAGCCGAAGAGCCAGCGCTGTCCGAAGACGTCTCTGTGATCATGTGGCTGGCATGACTAAACACCAAAGGCGCACGGAACGCTGTTACCTTCCTACCAAAGGTGGTCCCTATTTTTCTACTTGCATTTTTTACGTGCTTTTGAACTGCTAGGTTGGCAGAAGCTGGGACAAGTAACGGGAGCTCACCCCATTATGTGGCATTAGGGATTCAAACCGCTCAACTGCCGACCTTTCGATCGACAAGCTCAGCGTCTTAGCCACTGAGCCACCACATCCCTCAAATTTCTACCCAGATTTCTACTGCATGCCAAAAATGTTCCAAGGGACTTCATAATTTACGGAAGCTATACCATGTTATTCTAATTTTACGGAAATAATATTCCATACTGTATGGTTCTTCCTTTATTTCATCAAGTCAAGTAGTGTAGGTCCACCTCATTTCAGAAAGTGTTGCGTAATCACAGGGGACACTGTGATCAAGGACCCACATTTTCTTGCAGGGTCTCCTTTAAAGATGTGGGTGGCTAGGAAGACAGATGGGGAAAAAAGGACTTCAAATTCAACAAGACACAGACTGATCAGTGTTTTGCAGGCTAGAAAACAATAGCGCTTGAATTATGCCCAGAAATGAAGACGCAAGCAGTACAGAGTGAATGGAGAATTTATTCCCTTCCACGTATTGCTATATTACAATATCCAAACCAACCAGTATGTCCAAGAAATTTCCAAGATTTCCAAGATGCTGGAGATCTGGGAGACAGCAAATTCCCCATGTCTGCAATGTAGTTTCAGCACCCACATGGTCCTTCTCCTGCCCACATCAATTCAGCATTTCTTCAGTAGAAGAAACTCATTTTTTGCACTTCAGCCTACACAATCAAGATTGAACTTTTTTTTTTTTTTGAAAGCACATGAATGATAGAAGACTCTGAAATGGGATGATTCTGTGCAAGAACCAAAGGTAGGTTGTACATTAGATTCATCCTAGTTATGTCCTTTCTTTTGCATTATTTCAGTTCCTATGTTCCCTCTTGCATTCTTCTGGATTGCATCCTACAGGGAAGCAGATGGATCACACCCAAGTGACCTTCTCGACAACTCTCAGCTGAGAGGGGGGCCTCTCACCCCCATATTCCAGTTGACCATTTAATGCAGCACACAGAGCTACAAGAACCATTGCTTAGCGTATCTCTTTATACCAGCCATCAAGACACATTTGCAACGAGAAAGAAGTCAAGGCCTGGGTTATCATCAGTCACCACATGATGTTCAGCAAAGTTGGCTAGGTATGTTACTTTGCAGAAGAAGATTGTGTTCAGCGATGTGGGGAGTAATGCATTTTGCAGAATTTTGTATTGGATTTGTGGTCAGTTAAACAATGTGATGGTTAGGGTAATCCTCAACTGATGATGATAATTGGAACCAGAATTGCCATCTCAGTCATAAAACGCCATGTCAAATAACCACTCTGCTTAGCAAAGGCAGTTCTGGCAGTCTCTCATTGTTAAGCAAGTAGGTCATGAAGCAAGAACCTCAAGGGATCACGACTTCTAACTTCCTGCCAGCTTCCCCATTGACTTTACACATGGGAAGCTGCAGGGGTGGGTTCTACTTACCTTTACTACCGGTTCGCAACGGGGCCGCGTGTGCGCATGCGCAGAAGCTTCCTGATGACGTCAGGGTTGGGGTGCGGAGCCTCCCGTTAGTTTTACTACCGGTTCTATAGAACAGGTCTGAATCAGGAGCAACCCACCATTGGGAAGCTGACAGGGAACATTGAAAATTACAATCACTTGTAGCAACAGAGTTGCTACAATGGCTTCACTGCAACTACCACTCATTCAGGGCTGTTGTAAGTTTGAATGGTCACTGAACAAGGGTTGATAAACAAGGACCACCTATATTATTGTGTGAGATGTCATTGTTATGCACACTATTTCACTGTCCCTCTTTTGTGGCATACTAGGCCTATGGGATTATGTACTAGATTACTACATAATCCCATATCATTGCATCTCTCCCACTGAGGTGTACTACACAACCCAGTATCCTCTCCCAGTGAGGAAAACTCTAAGGGGCTGCCACAAAAAAAGAGAGGGTGTGTGTGTTTCAAACTATTCTTCAAAATACCTAAAGTCAGGACAAGAAATAATAGATGGAAACTTATCGAGGAGAGAACCTAGAAATAAGGAAGGGTTTCCTGGCAGTTAGAACAACTAATCAGTGGAACGACTTGCCTCCAGAAGTTGTGGCAGCTCTAAAACTGGAGGTTTTTAAGAAGAGATTGCACAACCATTTGTTGAAATGGTATAGTATTTCCTGCTTGAGAAGCAGGTTGGACTAGAAGACCTCTAAAGTCCCTTCCAATTCTGTTATCCTGTTCTGTTATTGTGTTATGCTCTAAGATTTCTCGGGGTAACACTGCAAATAACTTGAAGATGGCTGCATGCCTTTGGATATTTTCTTATGATTGTGTGTCGGGATGCTTCAGATGGCATTGCATGGTGTTGATTTTGCTTTGTGGACTCTTCCCACTTTCAGCTCTGTTCATGATGCTGATTGAAAGGCACCCTACAGGAGGCCAATGCAAACTGTTCTCGGCCTATGCAGGACTGCCTGGTCCATTGATGTCATTGGGCACCGAAGTGGAATAGGAGTAGGAGCGTATCACTTCATTGCAAGTTATGGGGATTCTGTCCACCCATTTTGCTGAAACTGTTGTGCACGGGGCATGGCTCAGGACTACGCCTTGTGTTGGTTCTTTTGGCATATGCAAATGCATGCAGGCTCCAGACACAGCCAGAAAGCCAGCCTAGGCTTCTGCTACCTCCCTTCCCCCGCTGCTCCCGTTGCCATGCCAACACAGAATGCTGTATCTCTGTTCAGCAGATGTCAACGCTGACAACTCCACCTCTCTCCACCCAGAAGTCTAAGCCGGAGGGATGGGGGTGGGCTGATTTGGAGGCTAGGGTGTGAACCCCCTTTTGCTGGGTTTCAGCAAAGGCATTTTTGTCGTTGTTGTTGTTTTTGAACGTCAGGACTCATCAGCCCAGGAACAGCACATACCCCACTAAACACAATGGCATCCAAGCAACAATACAGCAATAGCAACCTAAATTGTAGCATACGTCAATAGAGAACACATCAGTTTATTTGAACGGAGACCCGAACATATAATCTGCCACTTGCCATTCTCCTGAAATTTAACATGCATCTTGTAAGAAAGAACTCATGATCACTAGGTTCCCTGTTCCCCCCAAAATAAGGCATCCCCTGATAATAAGCCCAACCGGGATTTTGAGCGCATGGCAATAAGGCCAAGCGCTTATTTTAGGGTTCAAAAAATATAGGAGAGGGTCTTATTTTCAGGGAAACACGGTAATGGTGATAGAGGAGAATAATCCAGACCAGACCTGAACATTTTATGGGGCTCCTTCCCAAGCCATATCTGTCCCTGTTCCTGTAATTTCAATTAAAAATTAGAAATCAAATGTAAATAAGTGTGTGCCATGCACACAATATATGTAGTCCTCAATTGAGGACTACAATTGATCCCAAAATTTCTGTTGTTAAGTGAGACATTTCTTAAGTGAGTTTTACCCTATTTTACAACCTTTCCAGCCACAGTTGTCAAACCACTGCAGTTGTTAAGTCAGTAACACGGCTGTAAAGCAAATCTGGCTTTCCCATTGACTTTGCTTGTCAGAAGGTCGCTAAAGGGGACACCCCCCCCCCAGCCATTGTAAATATGAGCCTATTGCCAAGCTTCCAAATTTTGATCACATGACCAAGGGGATGCTGCAATGGTTGTAAGTGTGAAACACTGTCATAAACCACTTTTTTCAGTGCTGTTGTAACTTTGAACAGTCTGTAAATGAATGGTTGTAATTCGAAGACTATCCGTACAACTGTATTGCTCCTGAACTATTGCAATATCCTATGTGTGTTGTTTAGAAACTGATCAGTCCTCTTCTCCTAGCTCAGGGGTCGGCAACCTTAAACATTCAAAGAGCTACAAAGGTCCTAATCGGAAGCCCCCGTTCAATTCTGGAGCTGACCGGAAGTCCGGTTCCACAATCATAGTCTCTTCCTAGCAGAGGAAAAGGCACAGTGTCCCTTTTCCTCTGCTGACCGGAAGTCCAGTTCCTCCACCATAGAGTCTCCTCCTAGCATGGCATCCTTTTTCCTCTACCTGACCAAAAGCCCTATCAATTGTGGAGCTGGCCAGCAACAGGGAGCCGCAGCAGAGGGATGAAAGAGCCACATGTGGCTCCAGAGCTGCGGGTTGCTGACCCTTGTCCTAGTTTATTTTCTTCAGACGTTTCGTTCCCCCTAATTTTTGCTATTTGCCATTCTTGAATTATTTGCCCTCGACTTGTGATCACAATTGGGGGTCAGAATTTTAGTTTCTAAGGAATTTCTTAAGTTTCTAAGCAAGGAATGGTTAAGTGAATCATGTCCAATTTTACAACTTTTTTGTACAGCTGCTACATGAATCGTCTGATCATTAAGCAAATCTGGCTCCCCTTATTGGTTTTGCTTGTCGGAAGTTGGCTAGAAAAGTCACAAATGGTGGTCACATGACCTTGGGACATTGCAAACATTGTAACATTGCCAAGCACCCAAATTTTGATCATGTGACTATGTGGATTCTGCAGTTGGTCATGAGTGCAAAGACCAGTCATAAATCACTTTTTCCTGTGCCGTTGTAACTTGGGACAGTTGGTAAAGGAATGGTTGGAAGTCAATAACTATCTGTATAATCATAAACATTATTTTATTTTATTCATTTATTAAATTTAAATGCAAGGGACGCTGTGGCTCAGTAGCTAAGATGCTGAGCTTGTTGATCGAAAGGTCGGCAGTTCAGTGGTTTGAATCCCTAATACCGCGTAACGGGGTGAGCTCCTGCTATTTTGCCAACCTAGCAGTTTGAAAGCACGTAAAAAATGCAAGTAGAAAAACAGGGGCCACTTTTGGTGGGAAGGTAACAGCGTTCTGTGTGCCTTTGGTGTTTAGTCATGCTGGCCACATGACCACGGAGACATCTTCGGACAGCGCTGGCTCTTTGGCTTTGAAACGGAGATGAGCACTGCCCCCTAGAGTCGGGAACGACTAGCACATATGTGTGAGGGGAACCTTTACCTTTTTAAACTTAAATGCCATCCATCTCGCTTAGAGCCGACTCTAGGCCACAATCATAAAAATAAGATAACAATAAATATTAATAGTAAAATTGATTTAAAACATTATGTGCTAGCTTGACATCAACCCACTGAAAATAAATCTCAGTTGAGTCATGGCAACTTGACTTATTTTTTGTGAGGAGGGAGGTTGAAAGATTTCACTGCTTATTCAAGTAGCTTCTTCAGCTACTGAGGAAGTTGGTTAGGGGGACCCCACAGGTTCACTACAGAAGCCACACTTAATGGCCCACCTAGGAGAAAGGATTTAGGAGCAAGGACTCTTAATGGCTCTCTGCCTACTAACCTAAAGAACGTATTCAGATTAGGTGAGAAATAAACCACCCTGTAGGACATATATGGGGTCTCCCTAGCCAACTTGCTTAGCCTGACGAAAGGACTTGAATAAGCAGATAAGTTCAGTTGTCATGACTCAACTTTTTTTTTTTTAAATTTGATTTATATGCTGCCCTTCTCAGGGCGGCTTACAGTGCGTTAAGCGATAGCCTTCATACTTTTGTATATTTATACAAAATCAGTTTATTGCCCCCACAGTCTGGGTCCTCATATTACCTACCTCAGAAAGGATGGAAGGTTGAGTCAACCTTGAGCCTGGCGAGATTCGATCTTACTTTAATTGCAGACAGCTGGTGTTAAATTACAGTGCTCTGTCTGTTGAGCTATCCAGGCTCCTAGACAACCCTACATGGATGGCTGAGAATCAGTATTATTATTATTATTATTATTATTATTATTATTATTATTATTATTATTAAGTGAGATTTAATCTGCTGATCTGCTGAACTAGCAGTCAGCTGAAGTAGCTGCAGTACTGCACACACTAACCACTGTGCCACCTTGGCTTTATTGGCATAAATCCCACTAGATAAATATGCCCAGAATCACAGCTTTATGTTTATTCCTTCCATAGCAGAGGTGGGTTTCAGCAGGTTCTGACCAGTTCTGGAGAACCGGTAGTAAAAATTCTGACTGGCTCCGCCCCCATCTATTCTCTGCCTCCCAGGTCCCAGCTGATCGTGAGGAAATGGGGATTTTACAGTAACTTTCCCCTGGAGTGGGGTGGGAATGGAGATTTTACAGTATCCTTCCCCTGCCACACCCACCAAGCCACGCCCACGGAACTGGTAGTAAAAAATTTTTGAAACCCATCACTGTTCAATAGGATCCATGAGAATTGTAACGTGGGAATATATGTAGAGATCTTTTACTGTATGTTACTCTGTTACTCTAACCATCATAAATACATGCCAGTTGCCAAGTGTCCAAATTTTTGTCACATGACCATGGGGATGCTACAATGGTTGTAAGTTTGAAAAACGGTCATAAGTCACCTTTTTCAGTGTCATTGTAACTTTGAGCAGTCACTAAATGAATATTTGTAAGTCGAGGACTACCTGTATTTATTTAATTTCTATGCTGCTCATCCCTCTAACATGGAGATGCTGAGCAGCTCATGCTCTTCTTTGGCTTCAATTTCAGCCCATTTTGTCTCATCCTGACGTCCATCTCCAGACATATGAAACAGCATCAGTCTGGGGAAGAGATGGAAATCCACATATTATGTACCTGTTGGATGAGGCAATTATTAAGAATGTCAAATGCCAGAGAAATCAGGAGATTCAAGCAGTTCAAATGAGTATAAAGATTTATTGCAAGCTTAAGCTCTCTACAAGAATCTGACCAACTGGCAGTTAAGGGAAATGAGCGGGAAATAAGGGAGGCATTCAAGGTGAACTGGACTTGGATCTCTTGTGAGTGCGCAGGGATTCGTGACTTATGACATGTTTGACCCTTCCCTCAGCCTGGTCATCTCCTACAGTGAATCACTGCAGTCGTATAGAATAGAATAGAATAGAATAGAATAGAATAGAATAGAATAGAATTCTTTATTGGCCAAGTGTGATTGGACACACAAGGAATTTGTCTTGGTGCAAATGCTCTCAGTGTACATACAAGAAAAGATACATTCATCAAGAATCATAAGGTACAACACTTAATGATAGTCATAGGGTACAAATAAGCAATCAGGAAACAATATCAATATAAATTGTAAGGATACAAGCAACAAAGTTACAGTCATACAGTCATAAGTGGAAGGAGATGGCTGGTGGGAACGATGAGAAGATTAATAGTAGTGCAGACTTAGTGAATAGTTCGACAGTGTTGAGGGAATTATTTGTCTAGCAGAGTGATGGCGTTGGGGAAAAAACTGTTCTTGTGTCTAGTTGTTCTGGTGTGCAGTGCTCTACAGCGTCGTTTTAAGGGTAGGAGTTGAAACAATTTATATCCAGGATGCGAGGGGTCTGTAAATATTTTCACAGCCCTCTTTTTGACTTGTGCAATATACAGGTCCTCAATGGAGGGCAGGTTGGTAGCCATTGTTTTTTTCAATTTAAGTAAGTCATACAATTGTTAAGTGAATCCAGCTTCCCCCTCTGCTTGTTGGAAACCAGCTGGGAAGGTCAGAATTTAGCGACCTTGAGTGGTCGCTAAACAAATGGTTGTAACTGAAGGACTACCTGTAGAATGAGATCATTTTCCATTTACTTGCATTTCTGCGTGGGATCTTTGAGTTGCTTCTATATCAACTTGTCTTTTCTTCTTCTTATTTAGCACGACTGCCTCCCTGCTTGTTCTTAACATGAATTTCCTCTTGAGATGCTGAAGCACAGCAGACTGGGTTCCCATTAGTGGCTGAGGCTGTTGCAGGAATTGGATATGTCGAGTTTAGTGAAAAGAAGGACATGATAGCAGTGTTCCAATGTCTCAGGGGTTGCCACAAAGAAGAGGGAGTCAACTTATTTTCTAAAGCACCAGAAGGCAAAACAAGAAACAATGGACGGAAACTCACCAAGGAAATAAGCAACCCAGAACTAAGGAGAAATTTCTTGACAGTGAGAACCATCAACTAGTGGAGCCATTTGCCTTCAGGGGTTGTGGTGCTCCATCACTGGAGCCTTTTAAGAAGAGACTGGTCAACCTTTTGTCTGAAATAGTATAGGATTTCCTGCTTGAGTCGGGGGTTGGACTAGAAGATCTCCAAGGTCCCTTTCAATGAGGATGATGATAACTCTTCAAACTTGGCAACTTTAAAATGGGTGGACTTTCACTTTAAGAAAGGTCGACTTCAATTTCCTCATTTTGGCTGGGAAATTCTGGGAGCTAAAAAGTGTGAAGTTTGAGAAACATTGTCTCACACCATCTTGCTCCCCAGCTCCTGAGTTCAGTTCTGTCTTGTCCCACTTTCCATAGGTGTCTCTTTCAGAAAACATCATTCCGAGATATTTTATTTCAAATTCAAAACTAGAGAAAATGGTTGCCTGCAGGTGACCATTCCTTTGCCACTCACACCATCAAGAACTTGATATTTTGGTGACCTCCCCAGCCAAATGCACACAGAATTAAATCTCGAATGGATCGGCGATGCAGCATTTGGATGCCTCTTTTCAGTTCTCTGATGGGTCAGTCAGGGAGACCGAGCATTAACTTGTGAACTTGGTGGCAGCTAAGGAGTAGAAAGTATAGATGTGCCTTGTAGCTGGTTTCTTGCTTAATGGAGGTTGCATTTCCCTTACTAATAAGATCAGTTAGATTCTGATGATTGAGTGGGGTAATCATAACAGCTACTCCTTTGTGTCTGTCTGGTTATGTGCAATAGCTGCACATCTGCAAAATGTTTTATCTCTAAAGATAAAATATTTGAGGGAACTCTGGATTCTTTCATTTTTCCTCCAGACCTTGTACATCCTGTTGCTGTGTAATTTTCTGAAGTAGCTTTGCAGAATATTTATGGAGATTCTCAGCCACCCAGGTCATGGTTGTCCCAAAGATGCTTTTTCAAAAGGCAACTGGATTTTGTTTTTCCTTGAAGATGTTTCATTTCCCTGGATGAGAAGTGAAATGTCTTCAAGGAAAAAACAAACTCGTTGCCTTTTGAAAAAGCAACTTTGGGATAGCTTTGCAGAAATAAAGTTGTTTTCAATTGTGCCGTTATTACTTTTATAAATAACTCAAGGCAGCAAACATACACAATACCCCTTCCTATCAGAATAACTGATACCAAGATTAAGAAAGACAGTTTTGTTGGTCCACAGATCAGATACATCATCAGTGACAAGTGGTTCAAAGTTCTGTTAGTGGGGCCAGAGAAAATCACCTGGAAAGCATTCAAGGATGTTATTGGGAATTTTCTTGGCAACTGGAGAGCACTGAACAACATCCAGATGGTTAGCAAACTTCCTACAGCAGGGGTGTCAAACTTCGATGACATGCTGTCGTCACGTGACCTATCACAACTTTTCCCCCTTTGCTAAACCAGGGATTGGGGGGCAGTGTGTGATGTATCTGGCCTGCAGGCCGCAAATTTGACACCCCTGTCCTACAGTATACAAGACCATGAAGTGCAACATGTACCAAAGATTTTCTGCATTCATACTTGGTTTTTTTTCCCCCCTGAAAATCTGGATGCAGTCAGTGACAAACATAGTGTATGTTTTCACCAGGACATTGCTACAATGGAAAAAATACATCAGAGCAACTAGGATCAAATCTTGCTGATTACTGTATTGCTAGACATTGCAGTGAGATGCATTGGACACTTAGTACAAATGAAAATCAGGAACAAAATACTTGATCCTGTTGAACTCATGCAGCATGTCAGAAACATTATGCAATGAAATACATTATAGTCATTAAAAGTTAAGTTCATATTTCTCAAGATTCCTACTCATTCTGAAATTGTTTGTGATCAGTTTGAAGAGGTCCATTATGATCACCAAAAGTCTTTCAGGAAGCAAAACCTCTGAAAAAATTTCTTGTCCAATGTATTTGCAGCTTTTGACAAGGGTGTAAGGGGTTTATATTTGTTGCTGTTTCAAATCAACTTCTATGAGGCCTCAGTCACCAGTCTTAGGCCATTTGGGCTGTTTTCATATTGAAATTAAAAACAGCAGCAAGAAAAATAAAAACCAAAATTCTAATACATACTTGCATTGGAGAAGGATAACCAGCTCAAACACATTGGTCAGAATAAATTATCTGGGAATGCATCCTATCCTAGGACTGAAATATCTTTTTACAGTAGAGCAGGGGTGTCCAACCTTGACAACTTTAAGATCTGTGGACTTCAACTCCCAGAATTCCCCAGCCAGCCATCGTGACTGAGGAATTCTAAGAATTCTAAGATTTGAAGCAGTGGTGAAATCCTATTTTTTTTTACTACCGGTTCTGTGGGCGTGGCTTGGTGGGCGTGGTGTGGCTTGGTGGGTATGGCAGGGATACTGAGAAATCTCCATTCCCACCTTACTCCAGGGGAAAGATACTGCAAAATCTCCATTCCCACCTTACTCCAGGGGAAGGATACTGTGAAATCTCCATTCCCTTCCCACTCCTGAGGGAAGGATATTGCAAAATCTCCATTCCCACCCCACTCTGGGGCCAGCCAGAGGTGGCATTTGCTGGTTCTCTGAACTACTCAAAATTTCCGCTACTGGTTCTCCAGAACCTGTCAGAACCTGCTGGATTTCACCTCTGATTTGAAGTCCATAAGTCTTAAAGTTGCCAAGGTTGGACAACTCTGCCATGGAGCTATTCTTTCTAGATCTTCCTGGTTAACTGGAATGACCAGTTATTATCTGCAGTAATCTTTGACGAAATGTCCCTTACAACCTCTGTGCATCACACTTTCCAATTCATCTCATTTCCTCCTATTCCCCCCCACCTCTGGTTAGGAAATTTAAACCTTCCTTTTCTTTCCTATTTAATTAATGTCTTTGTCTACATTAAGAGAGAGAGAGAGAGAGAGAGAGAGAGAGAGAGAGAGAGAGAGAGAGGAGAAAGATGGCTGGCCTCTTTTCCGGTATTGTTTTTATTTTAGCACAACTTCCTCTTCCTCCCCACCCATTTAAAAACTTTTCTTTCTACTTCTTCCCCTAATGCAGAATCTTAGGTTTGGTTTTGTACCACAACTCCATCCCACTTTCTAAAAATCTCCCAACTGCACTTTCCTTTCCCTGCTGTTCTTCCTTCTTTTTCTTTTTTCTATTCCCCACCCCCTTTCTATTTTTTTGCTGCAACGGTTGTTCTCGAACCTTACCTATCCCATCGTCTTTTTCTCTGGAAATCTGTCCCTTTCTTTTTCCAGCCCAAATTTCACATTTGCTGCATCCAATTGCAGGCATCATCTCCGATTGTAGTATTTCTGGCTTACTTTAGACCTCTCCCTTCTTCCCCCATCAAAGGAAGACTTCAGTCTCCTCACCCACCTCAAAAAACCTTCCCTGTTCGACGTGCCACATTAATTGCATCCTTCCTTATTCCAGTCCCTCTCCATCCCCACCCAGTTCTTCTATGCGGCACAGTTTCTGCCAGTTCCTCTGTTGCCACGTGTGCATCCAAGGTACCACATTCCCAGCTCATTGCCATGGTGACCATTAACCCCTTCTATATTTGCCAGGAGGCTGAGCGGCTCTTGATGCTTCCTTATGTTGAGTGAGAAAGTTGACAGACCTCCAGCCTCTCTGATTTCTGCTCCCCTGAGCTCTGTGGAGAAATGGTCCCCTGGACAAGAGCCCAAAAGTCCCCATCCCACAACCCAGACAACTGACCCTGCCAGGCCCCATTCTCCCTTTTGTGATAACAGTAACCCTTTCTCATTCCAATTTTGGGAACAAATTTCCTTCCTTTTCCTGATTTCTGTAAATTTTCTCCCCCAGAGAATCAAAATTCTGCTGGCTCTGCCCTGGAATAAGTGAACCAATGAAAGAAGGTACCTCTTATTTTTTTATTATTATTTATAGCCCATCTTTCTTTCTTTCTTTCTTTCTTTCTTTCTTTCTTTCTTTCTTTCTTTCCTTTCTTTTCTTTCTTTCTCTTTCTTTCTCTTTTCTTTCCTTTCTCATTCATTCATTCAATTTATTTATTTATAATAAATATAACTCCTTCCTTCCCCACAACAGCCCTGTGGGTTAGGTTGAGAGAGCGAGTGGCCCAAAGGCACCCAGCCAACTTTCATGCCTGAAGTAGGACTGGAACTCCCAGCTTCCTGGATTCTAGACCTGTATCTTAATCACTAGATCAAACTGACTCTCTATGACCCATTCTTTTAACTCCCTGGGGCTAAAAGAAAGAAATTCCTAACCATCGGATAGATTTTCCTAGCCTCATATACTCTGGAATTCGTTAGGATCCCACCAGGGAGGGAATTCCATAGCCATGACAATGCCAACTTGTTTTGTTTGAAATAAAGTTTATTGAAGTTGTATTTACAGTATAATACAGAGTAAATAATATTTTGTTGTCCCAATCCCTCCTCATTGCAAGGAGGGAGATGGGGTTGGGACACTGTATTAATAATAATAATAGTAATTAATAACAATTTCCTTGTAATTATTTAAAAAACCCAGGTTCTTTTGTTCATTAAACCCCTCCCCTTAGAATCCCCTTGCCCCCTACCCCATTCAACCCAAAAATCTAGGATGCAGACTAAGAAAATAACATCAGTGTCTCTCGAAAACCAGCACTGTGGCTCTGCCTCATTTGTTGCAGATCCCATTTTTCTCACAACAGCAGCTCCCTACTTGCTTTATATTTGAAGTTTCATTCCTTTTAACTTTACTATTAATAGAGAATAAAATGCTGGGCTGGTACCAAGATGTGTGTGTCTGTGTGTGTTGCACAAAGCAGAACATTTCTGTTTCTTCCATAATGTGATCAAACTGCTATGAATAGCAATATTTTACTTTAGGGAAGTATATGGCTTGATCATATACGTTTTTTCCCCAAGCCATCCTTCTAACCTCGGTGCTGACAACATCCCCAATTCCTCCTCTTTTTCATCTGTGTAAATGTACAAGATGGCTTTTAGCCCTTGAAAGTCTTTTTTATTATGTAAAATATTTAGCTCCATGCATGTGGAACCCAAGTCTTGACAAATGTGGTATTTCTCTCCGTGAGCCAGAGGCACCATCTTTATTCCTCTTGCAGAATTTCTGTGCCTTAGCAGTTCGAGATTGGGTGGAAGCTGAACAGGTGCATCTTTCCCAGACATGAGACGCAGGATTGGTGAAAGACTCAATTATTTGATTTTCATTCATCTATAAAGGCACATGAGCCCTGCTCTTTCCGAGCACAATAAAAATAAAAGCTTTCCTCTTGCTGCTTTCAGCTCTTTTCTGCAGTAAACCATGAATGCAGAGTTAGCAAATGGAGGTTCTGAAAAGACACACTCGCTCCTTTCAAAGTTACATTCAGGAGGAATTCTCACCAGATGTTTTCCCCCAACGCTGTAGAGTTACCCTTCTTAAAGTTATGGGAAGCGTCTCAGAAATCAGGCTGTCATATTTATTTGAACTTTTCCCTTTCCTCTGTATGTTCTAGGTCTCCTTCCTCAAAAAGCTCATGGATAGGAACATGGATGAAGAGGAGTAATTGTCCTTTCTTGATTTGTATATACTCAGACTGTGCTGCCACGGTACATAGAAACGTTCTAATTTCTGGATTCACATAACAGGCTGTAATTTAAACTAGCCACAAAAGTGGGATCAAAGTCATACATTGCCTTATCTAGATTGCAAAACCCTAGATGACCTCTAGATGCAGCAGCAGAGATATAAAATACTACCTCTTGGGTGCCATCTAGTGTTCAACTGGGGTAACAGTAGGTTAACAATACACTCAGCTGAAATCTGGGTGGCTAGTTTTGTGCCTGCCTCCTGTAAACCCAGCCTTAAGCGCCCCTTGGTGGCTGCTAGGGCATTGAGCCCATGTGAAGCAATGATCCAAGCCCACACATCACTAATAGGCAACATCTCTCCATCCCTCATTCAGAGGTGAATCAGCAAACTGTCCAAATACAACAGAGGCAGGTGTCCAGTTTATGCCGTCTGAACCCTGAATAATCCAAAGGTTTATTCCTGAGTCAGAATGCACAATATAAAGGACTTGAACACTTACATTGCACAGTCACTTTGTTTAATGAGCCCGGTTTCCTTCCTACTGTTTCTTGTGATTTCCCTTATTCTTCCATGCTTTATATCCTGAACTGCAAAAAGCCTTCGCTTACGATGCATCCCTCCTTTAAGCTGTTTCAGCAATTCCTGAATTCTGTGCACATCATGGTAGCAAAATGAACAGAAGCTCCTGAAAACGTACGCCATTTAATTCAACACATTAATTGGAAATGGTGCTACGGGGGGCTCCTGGTTTAGGGGTGGTTTAGGGGGTGGAATGCAGCAGAAGCGTGGAAAAGTAAACACTGCCCTAATTGAATGTGCTTGGACCCATCTCTCGAAGAGATTCATGGCAGCCAAGATTGCAATGTTGATTTTTCGATTTCGTTGCTGTATCTCGGAGCCAGGAATCAGCTGGAAGCTTGCCTCTTGCACATCAGCCACAGGATAAGAAAGGATGACCTTCCCACAAACGACCAGTTACAAAAACGTGGGAAGAAAGCAGTGGCCACTCTTTTATTTTTCACACCGTCTTTGCACTTGCTTGCGGGTGTGAATTTTCATTCACAGCCTGTATACCTTAATCTTCCATGTGTCAGCAAACGTATACAAAGCTGCAAGATTTTACACACCTGATTACTACAGCAAACAGACACCCACTATAGTGGGATTTATTTCTGTGTGAACAATCAGAATATGATACTTTTTTCTTCCTTATTAAAAACATAATCATTCTGTCTGTCATTCAGCCATTTATGGCTGTTACATATATTTTGAAATTGGTCTGGCAGTATAAACATTGCTCTTTTTTTTTAACTTTAATATTCTGAGTCTTTAATCATTTTTAAGGAGATATGAGGAATAAGCTTCCCCCCCCTCCTAAAAAATTCCTTATTATAAATGAGGCTGCAATCCTGAATAAATATGATGACATCAACAAATCTTTTCACGGGCATCTGTTAAAAACATATAAAATAAAGAATATTTTATTATTTATATATGCTTATTTATTTAGAAGAGTTTGTTTTCTGAAAATGCATGATTGAATATGCTGTCATAGGATCTCAGCAAGTTCACTGGGCTTTAGATATCTGTGATTCACTTAAGACCTACTTAAGAACAAGAAATTCTTTTTTAGCTTTCTGTAACTGAGTAATGTCTGAGTAAATATGCATAGGACTGAGTGGTAAAACCACTTTAATCCCATAGCAATGTTACTTGGCATTTGATTACTTGCTAACATGTCTGCTGGAAAGTTCTTACATCTAGAGATTCCCTATGGCAAGCGGTTCCCAACCTTTCAGGCTTGGAGGAACAGCGGTGGGGTGGGGAGGGGGAAGGTGTTGTTCCATCCCATGCAAGCAGCAGGCACCCACAAGCGCATGCAACTCCACCTGAGTGGTGGGTGCACATGTGCCACTTGTGCAAATGGAGCTTTGTGCACGAGCGTGACCACCACTCGTGCAAATAGAGCTACATGCACACACACCACTTGCCACGGTCCCAGTAGTGGGCTGCAGCCCAGACGTTGGGGACACCTGCCATACGGTTTCTATGAATTCCCCCCCCCCCCCGGTCATCAGGATTTTCCTAGTTGTCAAATCAGAGCTTCACTGAGGCCAGATGTTGTGTTCCAAAAGTAAAACTACTGGCCCTGGATAAAGAGAGTTTCCAGGAGATGGAAAACAATTTGGAAAATTTGAGATCCTGTCTTCCCTCTCATCTAATTGCTTACCAATCAAGAGATGATCTTGTGGACCTCTGGAGCATTATAGATTATTTCTTCTCCGTTGTGAAAGAACATTTTGCACTCATGGTGGTTGTATGGACTGGCTTAAGGACAGTGTCCAAGATAAATAGCAACAGGATGGGTCTACCTAGGAGAAGTGATCCTGACCGAAGCCGCACAAAATCTGGAGAACACACCAAAGAACAAAGCTAGGCCTTCAGACTTTGCCATGCAGAGTTTACAGTGGCTTGCTCCTCTTATCTATGCCGTGGTCCTTCGTCTGAAAAGGCAGCCTTTAAATAGGAAGCAGAAGTAAATATTACTATATATCTGCCTCAGTAATGTTTTCTTAGAGCTATGAGATCAAAAGGACTAGAAACTTAATTCAGGGCGAAGAGTAATTTGTATGATCCCGTTCATTCACAGCGCCTCCTAGAGGGCAGATGTTTCCATAATTCATACCACAGTCCCATTCCCCCACCCAACCCCACCCCAAGATTAGAATGTCATATTATAGTGTCACTATATACAGCCATGAAAATTCAGTGGTTGACTTTGGGTCGATTGCTGTCTCTCAGCCCAGCCTACTTCACAGGATTGTTGCGGGAAGCATGAGGGGAGATAGTTTGTTTTGTTTTTATATATATAAAAAAAAAATGCAGGGAAGAGGAAGACTTATTTCAGCCAGGTACATCCTTTTGCAACAGAGCAAGTTTAGCAACTCCTCCTTTACTTTGAATAAGCTGGGATGAAGAAATAAATGGCAAATAAAACACCTGGAGAGATGCCCTTGAGCGAGGACAAGGAAAAAGCACGTGCACGAAATAGATCTTGTGCTGGATTGTGATCTCCAACGCAGTACCTGAAGGTGAATTGAGCTGCAGTTGATGCTGACACAGTAGCAGCAGCAGGAGACATGCTGGAGGAGGGGAAGGGAGTGGTGGTGGTGGGAGATTCAGAAGGATCTTTGTGTGCCAGATCTGAGTCAGCTTTCCCCCCCCCTTCCTCTCCCTTTCAAAGCCATTCAGAGGGATCCGATGTTCTTTATCCTTCACAAATCCTTGTGATTCCTACTTCTACGGTGTCTGCGCGCAATGGCTCGTTCGTTTCCTCAACGGCCTTCTAATGCAGTTCATCGCTATCGCTTCAAACTGGTTAAAAGAAAGGAGGATGGTCTTTGCTTCTTCCAAGGAGGATGCGTTGCAAATATAGGGAAAATTCTGTATTTGGGGATGACCTCCGTTTCCATTAAAACATCTGATCCAGCGTTTCTCGACCCTCACAGGTTTAAAATATGTGGACTTCGACTCCCAGAATTCCCCAGCCAGCCGGGGAATTCTCGGTATTGATGTCCACACATCTTAAAGTTGCCAAGGTTGAAGAAACATTGACCTCCCTCTTGCAAAATAGGTATGGATGAGCCACTTAATCCAATAATGCCATGTTCCTTTCTCACTCCTCATAAAGGAAATGTAGCCTTTCTCCCTCTTTGCTTGTACGATGGGCCAGAAAAATAGGCTGGTGGGGGGAAAAAAATCACTAAGAAAAAACGCAGTCCTCTTGTCTTACACAAGATGTAAGCATGGGGTAGAGATGGAAGGGCAGGTAGTCCTCGACTTACAACCATTTGTTTAGTGACCATTTGAAGTTACACTGGCACTGAAAAAAGTGACTTATAACCATTTTTCACACTTACGACCATTATACCATCCCATGGTCATGTGATCAGAGTTTGAATGCTTAGCAATTGGCATGTATTTATGATGGGGTCAATCATAAATACATCTCCACAGTGTGACTTTCTGACAAGCAAAGTCAATGGGGAAGCCAGATTCACTTAACAAACCGTGGTATTAACAACTGCATCTTAATAACTGTGGCAAGAAAGGTTGCAAAATGGGGAAGACTTAACAACTGTCTTTCTTTGCATCAGAAATTTTGGGCTCCATGTGGTTATAATTCGAGGACTACCTGTATTTCATTTCCATCAAAAGCATTTTATATTTCCACAGAAATAATCCCTTTAGACCTAGCAAGATTCCTCATGTCCTTTTCGTTTACTGTTTACTGCTTCACTTTTCCACCAAATGCACTCTATTTTTCTGTCCCTTCCTTTTTTATCCAGCAGTTATATTGGCATGCTTGCTTATCATGGCATTTTCTTCCAAATTTCATTGCACTTTTCAATACTTGGTTCTTCTTGGCTCAACACACCATATACAGGAGCTAGAAAGGAGTAGCTGAATAATAAAGAGAAAGGAGGAACAAGGAAAGGTGTGGTTTTTTTTAAAAAAAAGATAGTGGATATATATTAAAACAATGGAATATTATAAATAATTAAATTAGATCAGGGAAAGGAAAACATGTTTAAAAAAAAAAACCACTGAGCATTTGGAATGCTTATAGATGTCTGCACCAGCAATAAAATCTGTAGGAAATTGAAAATTGAAGTTAATTAAAAGGAAGGAAGATGAAAATGCGGTTAAATAAAAATTAAGAGCGAAGGAGCAGATGCCCCAAATATATAAATAATTTTAAGAAGAAACTAAAACGGAGAAGGCAGTAAAGCAGTAAGTAAATTGAGCAAACCAAAAATGAATGTCTGAAATAAAAAGGAAGTTGAATACTAAATTCTTTCTTTATGAGTGCGGGTTTTTCTCTCTTTGTGATTCTTTTTTTTTTCCAATGTGATTTTCACCTCGCTGGCCATACGTGGCATCAAGTTGGAAGGAACCATGACTGAAGAAGGTCTTGCATTGTAAGGAACTTCAATATTTGGCCAACTACGGCCAGGTTGCTTAAGATGGAGGTGGCATTTGAGGCATTGATGGCTGGAAGACACTGTTAGTTCCTCACCCCTTTATAATGATGCATTAGTTGTTCTTATTGATGGGTTCCAAATGAAAATGTCTCTTCAAAAAGATCTCTTGAAGAACAACCTGTAGAGTCAATACTGAAGAAAATAAAAATGGAGAAACAGCCAGGAAGTTGAGTCAGCAAGAAGGCAAATGGTATGAAAAGTTTTGGAACAGTTTTAGATATTAGCTAGGTTACTTCCTTCAATGACAGAACAGAGATTGCAGAAAAAAAATATCCGTGATAGGATCCATCTATTAGCCTGCCGTGATGATGCCCTATTACTTCCGAGGTTTCAGGAACAGGCTTGGAAGCAATATCAAAAACTTTTCAAAATGGGTCGGTTGTGACTGTATAAAAAAGTGGCCTAGTCATTGGTTGACAGAATCTAGAACAGAGATGTCCAACCTTTGCAACTTTAATACCTACGGATTTCAACTCCCAGAATTCTGGGAGTTGAAGTCCACGGGTCTTAAAGTTGCCAAGTTGGACACCCCCATCTAGAAGATGAGAACGAGGGAGCAAGAATTGAAGTTAGGATACAGAAAATTATGTGGGTTGCTTCTAACTACAATTCATTTGTAACTAAAAAAAGTATTGGGGAAAAAAACTTAGAGGAATTGCTAAGTCAGTCTAGCAACTATCTCAGAACTTGGCTTCATTCCAGAATACAGTTAGTCCTCGCCTTGTAACCCTTCATTTAGCCACTGCTTGAAGTTACAACAAGCACTGGAAAAGGTGACTTATGGCCAGTCCTTACTCTTATAACTTTTGCAGCAACCCCATGGTCACATGATCAAAATCCGAGCACTTGGCAATTGGCATTTATTTATGACTGTTGCAGCATCCCAGGGTCACGTGATTGCCATTTGCGACTTTCCCAGCCAGCTTCCAACAAGCAAAGTTCACAGGGAAAGACAGAGTCACTTAAGGACTATGTGATTCACTAGAGTGATTCATTTAATAACTATGGCCAAAAAAAGCCATAAAATCGGGCTGAGTCACTTAACAAACACTTGTTTAGCAAGGAAATTCTGGTCTCAGTTGTGGTCGTAAGTCAAGGACTACCTGTAATGGAAAGAAAGATAGCAAGATACTTCATTGGACCAGGCCGTTCTTAGTCAAACCAATATGGTATCCCTATATATATATTACCTGTCATTTCTTACTAACACATGGAAAGATTTACTGTTTGCTGATGGATAAAGCTGGAGAAATGGGGTTTTCCTCCGCATGGAAGAAAATAAAATAAGATGCCATTTGATGTCAGGAAACTAAATACACCGCCAGTAAGAATAAAGCAATTATGTGCTGTTTGATAAGATGGGGGCACTGACTGAACCTCTCTGATCAGGAATTGATTAAAAAAAACCCAGCATTTGGTAATTCTTCCTCTCGAGATCTAAAAAGCAGAGATGGTTTCACAACCCCATTTTTGTCAAATCTTTGGGGAGAAGGTTGAGGGAAGCATGCTCGGTGAGCTGTTTCTTGATCGCGATTCCAACTCTCTGAGTGAAAGGAGAAAACATCTGAGGCAGCACTGCAGAAGTAGAAAACATGTTCCTTCGTGCCACTTCTCCCACTGGTCTGTGGAGGATCAGGAAGGTAGGAAAGGGTGAGGAAAATTTTTTCGTTGGATGGCGAAGCTTCCTGGAAGAGTCCAAAAATGAGAACAGTTTTCCAACATGAGCATCAGCAATTTCATAGGTGGCTTGGAAGACTCCCACTAGCTGGAGAAGAAGAAAGTGGAAGAAAGGGGGGAAAAAAAGAGAGAGAAAGAGAGAGAGAGAGAGAGAGAGATGGCATTTATAGCAAAGCAGATGGTAGAAGGTCTTCAAAGAAGGAAAGAGGTCCCCATTAGTAGGGCAGCCTCACAGGGAGCTGTGGGGGAATTGGACAATGTAGTCTACAAGCAAAGGCCAAGCTCCTTGTCCACCATGTTCTATGGCAGGTCTAGCAAGGTGATGTTGATATGTGCATGTGTTCGGGATACTTGATGGCTGGTGGGTAGTTCTGAGTCATCTGGATGGAAACATCGCTGGAGATGTCAGAGGGGCTGCGCCCACGGTGCCACACTTCAGGGTGTAAGAACTGGCCCGAGTAGTCAGAACAGTCGCTCAAGCGAGGACGGTAGAAGGCCGGGTGCGGACGATACATTTCCTCTTCGGCATAACGTTTGGTGAAGAGGTAGACGGACATCACACCTGCACCCTGCAGAGCAGTGGCAGAAGGAAGGGTTGAGATTAGGACACAGAGGCAACAGTTAGCCATCGTGAAAGACACAATACAAGATAGGCGCCACCAATATTAGTAACTCTGAATAGGACCCCTTTCCAGGTGGGAGAGCTATTAGGTGGAATAAAATACAATGACAAATAGTTTTCACTGCACAGGTATTCCTCAATGTATGATCACAATTGAGTCCAAAAAATTATTTTGCTAATTGAGGCAGATGTGATAATTCCTCACATCCTTTTCTTTTACTACCTTTCTTGCCACGGTTGTTAAATGAATCTGGCTTCCTCATTCATTTTGGTTGCCAGAAGGTTGCAAAAGGGGATCACATGACCCAGGGATAGTGCAAACCTCATAAATACATGCCAGCTGCCAAGCATCCAAATTTTGATCACGTGATCATGGGGCTACTGCAATGGTTTTAAGGGTGAAATATGTTCATAAGTCACTTTTTTCAGTGCCACTGTAGCTTCGAACACCCACTAAATGAATTGTTTGTAAGTCAAGGAATACCTGTAGTTGTGAACCTTAGATTCTATGGGGATAACATGTTATATTTGTGTATAATTTTCTGTGTGTAGATAGTCCTTGACTTACAACCACAATTGGGCGAGAATTTTCATTGCTAAACAAGATGGCTGCCACACCTGATTTCATGACCTTTTTTGCCACCATTAAGTGAATCACTGTAGTTGTTAAGTGAATCACATGGTTGTTAAGTAAATTTGGCTTCCCCCATTGGCTTTGCTTGTTGGGAGCTGGCTGGGAGGGCCACAAGTGGCGATCATGTGACCTTAGAATGCTGAAACCATCATAAATCCATGCTGGTTGCCAAGTACCTCAATTCTGATCCTGCGACTGTGGGGATGCTATTATGGTTGTAAGTGTGAGGACTGGTCATGTCACTTTTTTCAGTGCTGCTGTAACTTAAAACAGCCACTAAATGAATAGTTGTCTGCCTCTCCCAGGTCCTTGGGAAACCCTTGGTATGTGGATAAAAATGCAATTCTAATCTGAACATCTGACTGACAGTATGATCAAATAATAATAATAATAATAATAATAATAATAATAATAATAATAATAATAATAAGGTTAGGTCCTTGGTTAGGACTCGAGCTGCTGAGACTGAGCTGTGAGCTATTAACCAGCCTCAAAGACTGTGAATCTCACTAAAGATTAATTAATTAATAATAATAATAATAATAATAATAATAATAATAATAATAATGTTAGGTCCTTGGTTAGGACTCGAGCTGCTGAGCTATTAACCAGCTCAAAGGCTGTGAATCTCACTAAAGATTAAATAATAATAATAATAATAATAATAATATAATAATATAATAAGGTTAGGTCCTTGGTTAGGACTCGAGCTGCTGAGCTATTAACCAGCCTCAAAGGCTGTGAATCTCACTAAAGATTAATTAATTAATTAATAATAATAATAATAATAATAATAATAATAATAATAATGTTAGGTCCTTGGTTAGGACTCGAGCTGCTGAGCTATTAACCAGCCTCAAAGGCTGTGAATCTCACTAAAGATTAAATAATAATAATAATAATAATAATAATAAGAATAATAATAAGAATAAGAATAAGAATAAGAATAAGAATAAGAAGGATAAGGCTGTGAATCTCACTAAAGATTAACTACTACTACTACTACTACTAATAATAATAATAATAATAATAATAATAATAATAATACTCAGAGAAGCACACTGAGACTTGCAAGATCCTGTTATTATAGTTCTAATAAAATTAGTTTTAGATCTACCTTGTGTTTGTTTCTTAATCTGGTCAACCTTGGACTCTCATTGGCAGCTCTAGGTTGTGTCTCCTCCTTCTCCCCCCTCCCCTTCCGATGTAGATCTCTCAAGTTAAAACAGTATGAAAAAAAGAACTACATGGGAAGACAACAAGCAGAAAGAGCCCCAGAGAGGAAAATGCCATGATTGTGCAAATCACTAGATCCTGTAGAGCAGAACCGATGGTGGTTAGTTCCTCTCTGAGTAGGATGTTGTGTGTGGGGGGGGGGCGGGGGGGGGGACATTAAGAAAGTGATTAAAACAGACTGGTTGAAGGAAACTGGAAGAAGCAACAGAGACCAGTTCAGCATCCTTCATTATTGGACACTGTACAGAGAAGAAGCAGAAGTGCTGCCTCTTATGGTAAATATATATTTTAGAATACTGTTAAAAGTAGTGAAAAACAGTTTTCCTTCTCCCTTGAAGCCTGGAAACACTCTGGTGTCAGAAAGAATAAGTGGGTGTGTGTGTATGTATGTGTGTGCGTGCAGGGGGAAGGAGGGTTGGAGGTGACATGTGTGAAAAGAGGGACAGATATGGCCACTGCTGCGACTAGAGTGAGCAGGTAGGCTCCCTAATATTTGCAAAACATATTTATGATCATCCCCAAAACAGGTGAGCAGGTTCTGCCTTCAAGGTAATGGGTAGTGGGACTTCCGGTGGCACCGCCGACATTGCTGGATGCTCTCCTTCGGTGCGCCAGCCCTGTGATCTTGTAAAGCTGCCCTGACAGCACAAATCAGCTGTCTGGTGGCTGGAAAACCTTTCCCCCGGGAGAAGAGGGAAAGGAGAGCAATCGGATGGGGGTAGAGCTCCCCAAAAGCCCCTGAAATAGTTTTGGGGGCTCGGAGGGTGAGAGCTCCCCAGGAAGTCCGGTGAAACTCCGAGATCCAGGGCGCTTCTGCTTTAAGCAGAAAAAAAAACGTCGCAACCACTTCTGCAATCTTTACTGAGATCTAAGTTGTTTACCTATGCAGACGGAGTGAAGACAGGAGAGCAGGCAATCGCAAGTAACAAACTCTTAATTCCAACTTAAATTGCTACTTTTTGAAGCTGCTTAAAGGAGTGAAGAAAATGGCGCTTGTGCTTATTAGGGTTTGAAAGTGAAAGTTAACTCTCGATAAAGCTGTTAACACCCAGCACTGTTCAAGGTGAAATGGCTGGCTTTTTTGAAAGTGATGAAGGCTCACTATTACAAACATCAGTAAAAACACAAATACTGATTGCAGATCTTTTTAAAGAAATTTTAGAATCATTTACCTCCGTGTTGGTGGAAAGAATGGAAGGGTTTTTCAACAAGGATTTTATTCAAGTTCGAAACAAAGTTGCAAGTGAAGATACTGTAGCGGTATTTCAGTTGCTAAATAATAGTGAGTTGCTGAATGAAGAGGTGGAAGAAACAATCCAGTTTAATGTGCCTTTGGAAAATGGAATGGATGTTTTTCAAATTAAGAAGGAAAGGCTAAGAGGTTTGAAGGAGTGTAACCAGGAAATATTGAGAGAGATTTCCCCAGAGACTTTGATACAGTCAACTGGAAAATTGTCAGGAGGCGTTGGGATTTCTAATATAAGAAGGTGGACTCGAAGTGGAACTTTACAACTTTTTTACAAAAATGGACTCTCAAGCGCAGTTAAAGAGGTGTGTTTACTGAAAGGAATTACTTTGCGAAGAGAACAAGATTGTAAGGTACAGCAATTTCAGCTGAAAATTCAAGAACTTATAAAAATAAAAGAAGGCAGAGGAATAAGACTGAAGAAGAAGGTTCGCAAAAAAGTCAGGAAAAAATGGAGATGGAAAAATTACAATCTTTTTGTCTGGGGAGGATAGTACTAGTGAAAATGAATGACTATACCTGTATCTAGGGACATGATTTGTCTTGAAAAGTTATATTAAGTAATGTTATGTTTGAATTGTTATGGGCTATTGACCAAACTTTCATTTTTATTTTGAAGTATATTAACACTAAAGTGTAGAGAATGAATAAGTTTATGCAAAGTTATTAAGTAAGGAATGTTTTTAGGAAGAATCAATATAAGTTTATGGGGTAAAAAGTAAAAGTAAGGTTTTCATAATATAATTTATTTGAGATTGGTTAAAATATTTTGTTAATGTGTTAAAATATGTAAGGGTTGGAGATGTGATGGTTAATTGTAATTGGGCTCTGATTGTGCAATGCTGGAAGAAAGAAGACTTGCTTATTATTGAAGAACGGACAAGAACGAAGTTGGATTGATTATTTTCAAGTAATAATTGGTTTAAATAGTTATATTCAGATATGAACAAGGGGAGTTAAAATACAAAAGGGAGATAAACCTATAGATAGTCAGCTTATGGTTTTTTTTTTATATGTTTGTTAAATGCTATATCCTGTATTTGCTCTGGGAAGTCCGGGGCAGGAGGGGGGGAGGACAGAAGGGAAAATATGTGTAAATTTTTAAAAAACTTTTCAATAAATAAAAAAAAAGGTAATGGGTAGTGAACAGATGTTATCTATACAGGTAGTTCTTCACTTATAATAATTCATTTAGTGACCATTCAAAGTTACGACAGCACTGAAAAAAGTGACTTATGACCATTTTTCACATATACAACCATCGCAAGATCCCCATGATCACATGATCAAAATTCAGACGCTTGGCAACTGACTCATATTTATGATGATTGCAGTGTCCCGGGGTTGTGTCATCACGTTCTGACAAGCAAAGTCAATGGGAAAACCAGATTCACTAAACAACCATGTAACTAACTTAACTGTGGCAAGAAAGGCCATAAAATGGGGGAGGGGGGAGACTCACTTAACATCGGTCTCGCTTAGCAACAGAAATTTTGAGCTTAATTATGGTCATAAGTTAAGGATTCCCTATTGTTCTGCCCCAGTTACAGACCCCAAAGAATGCAGCACACACAAAGTCTGTACAAACCTTAGTTTACTAAATTAAATCAGTCTTTTGCAAACAAAGGCTGTTAATTAACTTTCTTAACAGCCTACAAGAATCCAAAGAATAAATAATCATAATCTTACTATGGTTGGCAGAAAGCCCAGAAGCAATTTGCAGAGAACTAAGATCAAGACACGAAGGAGAGTGAACGAAGTTGTTCCCTGCAAATTGCCTCAGTCATCGTCTTTCCTTAAATAGGCTAAGAGAGTGGCCAATTAACCCCAA